CAAGCCAAGGGGGCTCATGTTGGCAGGGACTAGAAACTCAGATTTACTTCCGGGCGCAAACTATGCGACCATGTACATTAGGAGGCAGGAGACTGCATTTAGTGACTTAGTGAGTGGCCAGTAACCCTGATTTTGCCCCATTTACCCCTATTCTGAGACTCCTAAGTGGGTTCTTCCTAGTAGCCCGCCTCCTCATGAACTGCTTTTCTGAATGCCCAGAAGGAATCGCTGTCATTCTTGGCAACAGTCTAATATGCAGGGTGTTTGTATGTGCTCGACCCTCTCTTCAATCGCAGCTCCACGTCCGGTGATAGTCGTGAAGGAAAGCAAGCACTGCTCCGTGATCAAAAACAACACGGGCCCTAGACAGCAATAGTTGTTTTTGAGGTGATCATCGTGAATGCTTCTGCAAGTTCAAGCAATACAGCAGCGACATTCAGGGAGCATCTCCTTTGATGCACTTGCTCTGCTTAGCATTCCCCTGCAACAGCTTCCTGCCAAACTTGTCGGTCACGCCCTCATAAAACCACCCTGCGTGAGAGTCCTCTTTACAATTCTCAGTCACACTTAGCACCTTTTTGTGACCGAGCAGAGTCGGCTTCCGGCGTTCTCCGAAAGGTCTTGCTTGAAGCAAGCTCCTGGATATTGATCGCCACTTTCCAGACACCATTCAATGGTCATTGGCCAGGCAAAAACAACGAACAATCTATCTATATTGTACATGCAGAAAATTGGTTTTATTTAAATTATCAGGTTAAATCATATTGTAAACTAAAATCTAATATATGTAAAGATTATGTATTTGAATATGTATAAGAATATAATTATATAATGAATGGTTTTATAGATGTATTATAAATTGGTATATTTGTATTTGAGATGTTGTATTATATTTGGTTTTGTTATCGTATTATTTCGGTAATTTATTGATTCAGTTGTGAGGTTGTTTACAAGGGAGAAATGGTATTTGATGGAAATTGTATTTAGGTGTATGAATTAATTTGATGTATTATTTGTTGAGATATAGAACGATTATTTTGTAATGGGAATTATAATTATATTATATTATTTATTGGATAAAATATAATTTATTATGGTATAAGTGTGGTTTTGGGGTTATATTTGTGGTTAGTGATTATTTTTTATGTGTTTTTGTTGTTTTGTTTTTGAGATATAAATGGTTGGCTCTTAATTTGGGAAATGTTGTTTTATTTAATTTCGAATAATTTTATATGTTGATGATGATTTAATATATATTGACAAAAAAAATGGATTATTTTGATTAATTGGAAATTAGATTTTTTAAATAATATTTGATTATGTATTTTAGAATTTAGAGGCTTTCCGAAAAAGATAATATTGTTTGTTTCTTTTGTTTTAAAGAATATAATTTATTGAGAATAATATTAATAAAATAAATAGATTAAAATAATAAATAAAGAAATATAAAAAAGAATGAGAAATAATATATTATTCGGGAAATTGAATGATATATAATTTATTTTTAGTTTATTATATTTTATAATTATTATTATATTTTTAATTAATGAATATATATATTTAAAAAAAGAAATATATACATATTTATGTTTTATTAATTTTAATTTATATATATATATAATTTAGAATTTATAAAATTCGATTTTTTTATTTTTTTTCTCGTTATTATTGTAATTTTTATTATTATAAAAACATAAATATATAATAAGAATATAATTAAAATAATTTTTATATTTTATATATATTTAGATTGAATTCGTAGTATTGAAACTAATTGAAAGGTACCTTGTATAAATAGGTAGAATCAGAAGATTAAATAGTGCATACGAAAAAATAGCTCTTGCAATCTTTAGAAGATCCGATAGAGCATGCGAAAAAAAATATATACAGAGAATTGATAAAATGAAGCAAAGATGAATGCATTCGAGAACATATGTATAGGCGCGGTCTAGGTTGATGTTAACCACCCTGTTTCGATGCCTGTCTGGCACGGTTAGATGTCGTGGCAGGCGTAATATATTGACAAGGTCAGGTACAAATTTTGTTGTAGATATAGCATTTTCGAAAGGTTAGAAGCAAATTTCGTGGCAAGCGCAACATTTTCACCAGATTGGATATAGATTTCATAGCAAGTATCATAAGGCTAGGTATAGATTTGGTAGTAGGCACGATGTTTTCGCAAGATTATGTAAGATTTCGTAATAGGCACGACATTTTCCTAGAATTAGGCGCAGATTTCGTAGCACGAATGATATTTTCGTCAGGTTGGATATAGATTTCGTGGCAGACACGATATTTTCACAAGGTTAAATATAGATTTTGTGGTAAACATAATATTTTCGTGATTGAAGATATAATTGTATTTTTTCAGATGCAATTCGACAATCGCAACAGTTAAATATAAAAATAATAATCGAAATAGATGGTTCTAGTTATAATTCGAAAATCTCAAAATAGAAATATAAGAATAATATTCGAAATGTATTTTTCTAGTTGTAAATCAAAAATCATAAAACCATCAAATAGATAGATAATAAGAAAAATCTTTATATATATAGATAGATAGATAAATAAAAAATCATATCGATAGATAGATAGATAGATAAGAAGAATAGATAATCATAGAAGAAAACCAATTAGATACCTGATTAAATAAACAAATGAATAAATAGATAGTTGTTTAAATAAATAACTAAATAACTATATAAAATAAATAATTAGATTATTGGATAGATTGTGCGAATACTAGCTAGATAATTAGATATATAAATAAATAAATAAATAAGTATGTTTATTTTCTTTTTTCTCATTCTTTTTTTAAATTATATATTTAATTATTTAATTTTTTTTCTAGATATCTATTTTGTTAGTTATTTAATTATCTATCCATGCTCAAACTACCTAGCTATATATTTAGCTAGCTTTGCATCTATTTATGAAAAAAAGAAATGGAACCACAAATAGAACAAAAAGAAAAAAAGAAAGAAGAAGAAAAATACATAATTAACAGAGAGAGAGAAAGAAAGAGAAAGAAAGGAAAAAAGAAGAACAATATAAAAGAAAATAAGAAAAAGAAAAAATAAGGAGAAAACAACAAAAAGAAAAGACAAAAACCTATAATTTGTATATCTCCAGAAATTTCTAATCATCAGCTCAGTCGCACATAAGCACATACATAACATACAACAAAGCAGGGGGGGTAAGAATTCGAATATGCAGTATTACGATTTGCGCTTTGTATTTCTTTCATTTGTTCTTTTTCTATCTATGTATTGTCTGTCTTTCTCTATTATGTTTCTTTCTTTTTCTATTTTCTAATTTTCGTTTTTTTTATCTTGTATATTATCTTTAATTTTCTTTTATTAAGGCTTTAAGTTCGATTTTTCTTTCTTTCTCCGGACATACGTAACGCTTGTAATTATAGTCAACAGCTGCCGCATTTCTCTTTTGAATTGAATGCATTACATTTCTATTAGTATAATTAATATATAAAAGGGGAACCGTTGCAAAAACAGAAGCCTAACGGTATACGAGGCGGAATAATACGCTCTTCGGAAATTATATAGGACAATAACCTAAACAATGTTTACCTCTAACATGCTCCACCTCCAGCTCAAATACCTTCTAATGGAAATCGGGCTCCGTCTAATAGAGGGTCGAATGATATTTAGGAAAATGTTTATTTCTCTTTACAAAATATTAAATATGTGGTTCCTTTGGTTAGATAATATTTATATTGGGAAAAATATGTTGTTTGTTGAATATGTTCCTGGAATTGGGTTAAAATGAAATCTCAAAAAATATACAATTTTGGAATATTATTCCAATTTAAAAATCCATGGGAATCCTAATATCGAGATTATGTTCTAACTCATTCAAATTCCAAATTTAGGGTTTTTAAACGAAGGGGAAAAATTAGCCAAATATTAGTTATTAGCATAGGTAATCCTTCACCATTTTTGTGGTTAAAGTCTGGCCTATAATAGGTAAATGGAATCATTAACAAAGATTATGGTGGGTTAGAATATGCGGGCTACAAAGATATATATATATATCAAATATCTCGTTCCATTAGTGTAATATACATTAAACACACAAGCTAAATAAGGATTAAAGTATCTTTCGCTCTAATTCTCAAAAGTAGTTGCAAAAATTGAAGATTGCGATCTCGATCTAGCCTAGCAAAGCGTCGTAGAGGGTGGGAAGTAAAGGGTTCAAAATCTAGTCAAAAATTATTACATAAATTATTATATTTTCTAGATTTAATAAGTAGTATTTTTTTGCCAAAACGTATATTAGTTTGTCATAGAATTTCTTATATATCCAAAGTAAATATATTTATACAAGAGTAAAAGAAAAAAAAAAAAAAATAAATTCAAATATGATTTATCATTATTAAAAAAAAAAAAAAAAAAAATAACTAAAATTTATAAAGTGCCAATAGAATTTAAGATCTTTATCGGTTTTCATCGTATAAATTTAAATAAGAATTTCTTATTCGTGTGTCGAGTATCATAAATATGTTTAATATTTATAATTAAAAATATATTAAATCATATCAATATATTTATATATTAAGCATATTTATTTCATATAATTAAAAATAAATAAAATATATATAAATCAAAATCACCAAAATATATTTAAAATACATCATTAATATATATATATATATTATTTAAAACAATAAAAACCATATACAGAGAATATAATAACAATAATATATATAATAACTTTTATTAATAATAACAATATATAATTACAATAATACATATAATAATCGTTATAATATAATGTTTACTAATAATCATTATATTTTATAATATATATTTAATTCTGTAAATATATTAATTTTAATACAAAAAATATATCTTTAAATAAATATATTTCGAATATAATTTATATAATTCCAAATAACATTATAAGTTCAGAATAATTTCTATATATATTATATAATATTAAAAATAATTATAATAATATTAATAATGAACCCCATAATATCAATTGACATTTCGTTTGTATTCCAGAGTTCGGATTTTTGCGATACGTTGGAAGACATGAAAATGCCAAGTGCTATTCGCCGGGCGCACCAGCTTCCAATTCAGCATCAAGCGCCCCAGCATCTGCCGGCCATAATCGCGGCCTGCATTCCAGTAGAGCTTCTCCTCGAAGAGGCTCCCAGAATGGCGCCCAGAACCTCTCACTTGCCCAAAGGACGCGGAATTAAAAGGTCGCTGGGTCCTAACCTTTTGGCACTATATAACCTTTGGCACTAACCCTTTGGCGCTAACTTTTGGCACTAACCTTTTGGCACTAACCTTTTGGCACTAACGTTTTGGCACTAACCTTTTGGCACTAACCTTTTGGCACTAACCTTTTGGCACTTCCACTAAAGGACCAAAACGGGAAGACCAAAAGGTCAAAAGGTCGGCTTTGGGCAACTGAGTAGGCAAACACCTGAAACATCTTCTGTAAAAACCGGCTGCAAAGTGGGCTCCTCAATTATCAAGTGAACGCAGTTCTACGTCCAAGCTTGCAACATTTTCCGAAGTGTCAGAGTGATGCCGACCGCGGCCATGTGACAATGAGCGGGGATCTCTCCATGGAGCCGGCGCAGTCGCTGTCTCTCTGTCAATCAGATCCCTTGTGCCTCACCTTTTGGGCAGTCTCTTCTCCAAAAAAAACCACTGAGAATGTAGTTGCCCCCAAAAACTGGTGATGTTCTTTTTGGTTTTCCTCTCAAACCAGCGAAACAAAAGGTACCCGACCAAAGACGCCGCCATTTGCGTGGTGCCTTTGCACAGCGCCAGCGCCCTTTCACTTTGACGAGGCGCGGTTCTCGTTGTGCGCCTCCCTGCCCCACACTGAGCCGCCAGGGCCCTCTGGACCCGGGCCGAAGAAGAAGAACGCGCCGTCTTTACCTGGCAGGTGGCGCTCGGTTCAGCCGCAAGGGGATGACTTTTCTGAGTATCCAACATGCGGGAGCCCTAGCGCGCAGGCATGCATCGATAGCCAGGCTTGAGACTTGCGCAGCTCCAACTAGAAAATCACAGTCTTTAGTACATGGGAAGTGCCCCAAAAAATACACTTCCGCAGATCTCGAAAGCTGGCTGTGGGTCAAAAATAGGTACCCAAAATGGAACCCTGGTAAATGGAAACATGGACTGAAACCTGCGGTCCATTCCCTGGTGCTTCAATTTTGACCCGGACCCAGCTGCGACTACTCTATACTCTATACAGACCAATGCAGCCTCCACAGCCCCAACTCAAGAATTATTAGTTAGTGTTGTATAACGCACAGCCAGCACTCGAGAAGTGGAATCGCGAAATTGGGAGCAATCTGTGAGAGGCGTGGGAGGTGTCCGGTCACCAGGAAAAATGCTGAATGTGCATGACCTTCAGATCTTTATGCGGTGGCAGTATATTCGGAGATTGGTACACAGAGGTGAACAAAGATTACGTGTAGAGGTTGTTTGCCCTTTTTGGGGTGGTTCAAAAGGGACACCGACAGGAAAACCATTATTCTTTGGGGCCCCCTAAACTTGCTGGTGCTCAGTAGGGAATGAGAATTGGAATGCACCTTATGAACCATTTATTCCTGAATCCCTGGGCTGATTCTCACATTCCCTACTTATCGCGCCAGCAAGTAAAGAAAAACAGACCCTTGGGACCCCAAAGGAAGACATTTTGTAGGGGACCACCAAAATGGTGGGTTTCCTCTTGGTTTCCCTTTGAAACTGCGCAAAAATGGTCCCCTCACAGAAAGACGAGCCACCCATATGGCCATGGGTCAAAACCCCGAAATTCCAGTGAACATCCCAATCCCCACTAAAATAGGAAGCCTAAACTGGGTAGTGAATTCACCTACCCCAAAATGGGATCCCATTGGTGTTGCCCCACGGCCATATCCTTTTCCTTAGCGAAGCGTGCCAGGCTTTCCCCGACACCAGAGCTGCGCCAGGCTCTGACGGTCCCCCCAGGGGTTCACCTCATCGCCGTACATGCCCAAGCCGCTGTGCTCGATGGAGGACCACTGCACCTCACGGTGGCTGTAGGTCTCCTGCTGGAAAAGCGTAAGTGGATTGAACTGGTTAAGTTAAGTGAGTCTCACCCAAGATGCTAGGTCTTTTGGCAAAACAAGTGGATGCAACTGGTTCAATGATTAGAACGAAACTGAAGCCAGCGCCATCTACGTTCAACCACACGGATCTAAAAGTGATATCTACACAAGTCGCTCAGTGGTTTTCCGTCTGCAAAGGGGGGAACAACCTGGGGGAAGTGGAAAACAGTAGCAGAGAACAAGTCCGAATGATGAATTTGAATCGAAGGGAACACAGTTGAAAGCCCAGAAACACTCAATCCATGTTGCAAAGAACAAGCTACACCCTGGACACCTTTAAGCCACCCACAGCGCATAACTCTGGACACCTGATCCCATGTGTCTCTGTGCCTGTCTCTGTGTCTCTTGCATGCATGTATGTATGTATGTATGTATGTATGTATGTATGTATGTATGTATGTATGTATGTATGTATGTATGTATGTATGTATGTATGTATGTATGTATGTGTGTGTGTATGTATGTATGTATGTATGTGTGTATGTATGTGTGTATGCATGCGTATCTGTGCCTGTCTGTTTAGCATTATGTCCTTCTTTGCGTGTCTCAAGATCTTCCGAGTAGCAAAGCCGTCAAAGCGCTCTTCACTGAGATAGGCTCCGTTGAAGTCCTCCGGCAACAAGGTGGCAATCTTTGGATGCCTGTCCGGGCAGGCTGACAGGTTCGAATACTCCAGCGTGGACACACGGGAGGCCACCTGACAGGGGGGAGCCAAAGGACAAAAAAAGCTGAGACAAGGACTATTGCCAACATCAGTTCAGGCGAAATCGAAATAAAGGGTCCTGACTCGGGCACGGAAGCTGCAAAAACCTGCATCAAACAAAACACAAGACGCTTCTCCCTGGCCTTGTACTCCAACAAGATCGCCTCAATCCAAGGAGACAAGGAACCCAGCACCAGCCAATGCCCGCCAAAGGCAGGGCCCAGCAAAGGAATCGCATCCTGGCGACAGGGTGGGCTTCGCAAGGGAACCAGTACCAACAAAAAGTGACGCACCCACATGAACTCTACGGGCAAAGGACGGTTGGCCCCAACTTGCCAACCCCAACCAACCCTCCTAACCCCACAACCCCCCACCCCCTAACCCCCGACCCCCCCCCACCCCCCCCGCAACACCCCCAACGTCCCCACCCCTGTAACCCCCCCAGTAACCCCCCCGTTCCCCCGGCGCCTTCACCGAGGCCACGAAGCGCGCGGTGGAGTTCAGCTCCTCCGAGTCGTAGGCCACGAAGTCCCCGAAGCGCGGCCACCGCAGCGGCTTGCGACCCACCGACCGCACCAAGCGCCGCAACTCCTCCACGGAGTCCTCGCGGCTTAAACAGCGAGGGTGCATCGGCAAGGCCAAGGTTTGGGGAGCAACCAGTTCTTGTGTTCACATACATGAAACATATACTGTATGTATATAAACAAATACGTGGTCAACCTTTCAGGCTTCTGGTTGGAAAGTGCCATGTCTACTCTGCATGTCTCTTTCTTACAAAAGTCTGTGAAAAACAGTGTTGTTGTTGGTGCGGTTACCCTCTCTATGGTAGCAAATGAGGATTGAAAGGTACTCCGTTTTCGGATTCAAGAATGGTTATGATTGAAAATACGGTTTCTTGTTGATGTTTATTTTCCATGGTTCTGAGTACACATCGAAAACATATTGGACAAAGGAACATGTTTGCAGTGTGGAGCTCTGAAAGCAACCTATATCAAATCGAACAAGGAGCCGAAAGACTAGCAAGATTGACATCCTGAAAAACCTACTATCATCGTCATCCTCATCAGCATCATCATCTCTCTCTCCTCAGTCTCAGTACCAACAGCTAGCTTCTGTAGTCATTGCTTAAAGTCATCACTGATATGCTTACCCCTCAGTTTGCAAGCCCAGAGGTAGGCCCTGAGACCATGAGCACATATATATATATATATATACGTATAAGTATAGCGAGAAACACATAGTTCTAGTGGTTTACTGCTTGTCTATTTGATTCGTTATTGTTATGTGACTTGTTTACGTATCTAGGAGTATACACGGAGTATACGCGTTATAGCATGTGGTACTTGAGTGCTCCTGTACCAACCTTCCCATAGAACCAGGAGCCACTCCCCATCTCAGTCACAATCAAAACTGGTCAACCCAGACAATGTAAAGAATAAAAGGGGTGGCTGTACTTACTTCTCGCTGGCACGTGCAACCGTCCCTCACTACCCTCCAACCACCCGAGTTTCGATCACGGCGCCAAAGCCAACCAGAACCATCTGCCACCAGGATGTGCTTATTGAGTGTAGCCTTTTTGGGCTGGTGTCAAAGGAAAAGCAAAGGAAGAACCGCCAGTTTTGAGGTCCACCTATTTTCTGGCTATCCTCAGGTCGCCCACCAAAAGTTTACGTTTCGGTGGGTTGCATGGGAATTACCACTAAAAATGAAAAGCTAAAACCTCCAGAACCGAATGGCTGGCAACCACCAAATATTTGACACAGCAAAAGACAACCTCCCTCCTCCGTCCACATGCGGCACCGTGTAGAGTTGCCGGCCACTTCCTCCTCGGTCTGGCGCCGCGGAAGCTCGTAGCGCGCCAAAAAGCTCACGCCTCCTGCCGCGAAGTCCTCCTGGCGAGCGGCTGGGCTGGGTACCTTTTTCAGGTCGGCTTCAAGGTCAACCAAAACGAAAACCATCAGCTTTTGGGGTAGCTCGTTTTGTGCTGACGCACAACACGTACCCACACGGCGGCGGGGGATAGACCGTCTACGATTCTAGTGGAGCATTGCGTCACTCACATGGCTTAGTCAAGTCAGTAGATGGCCTGTGTGTACCGGACTTCATGATAAGAACCCTGGTACCCTTTTGTGGGTTTACGGGGAAACCAATTGGGCCCTCAGCTTTCCTCTTGATGGCTTGGAGCCCGGTGGTTTGGATTGGGGTTTCCCATTCCACAACCCGAGGTTCAAATCCCCAAACCGGTCTCCAAACCACCAACTAGCTACCTGACACTCCGCGAAACAAAAGCAAAAGAACTCCGCGCCAAGCGCTTCGGTGTCCTTGAAGACTTGGGGCATGCCCCGTAGGGGAGGCCAAAGCCTGGAGCTCTGGCTGATCACCCGGTTGCCGGTAATGCCGGGGCAATCCTCGAGCCGTGGCAACATCCGGTCATCCGCGTCTCCTATGTGGCCAATATAGATCACCCAACAGGCACAGCTATTGGAGATGTGCGTTACCTCAGAAAATGAAAACGGAGCCACAATTGAGGTCCGTTTGCCAACTGATTTGGCCATGGGTCAAAACCCGAAATTCCAATAAACATCCCAATCCCCACTAAAATAGGTTCTAAAATGGGTGGCGAATTCACCAACACCCCAAAATGGGATCCCAAAACGGTTTTGACCACCACAACCATTTCTCCCCATGGCCGGCTCTGCCCCATTGGCAAGATGCGATCTCCGCCGTGTAGGTGGGCAGCCAAAAGGAAGGAGCGCCCTCCACGTGTTGGGACATGTCGCAGACCGCCCCACAGCCCTCCAGCAGCCGGGGCCGCAAGCGCGTGAAGTAGAAGTCCTGTAGAAGCTGAAGCACATAGAAGCTGCCTGCAAATCATTGGCCACTCCACGAAAGGAAGGGATCCTCATGTTGAGGCAAGTAAAAGGCAAGTAAAATGTGAATGTTACCCTTACATGTGACTTGAGGGGCGTGAACTGTGACTCATGGTGATGGTGGCCTGTACTACAAGGTGGTCCTGCTCTGTCAGCTCCGGAGAGCCAACATTGGCAGCATCATTTGTGTAGGGTTGGGGTGTCAGAGCGATGCCGAGTCTTCGACACCGACCGGGCAGCTCTCACTTTCTTTGCGGGCAATACAGCCGCAAGTCATGATCCCAGCACCTGACGTATCAAAGCCCGCGTGACAGTGACCTCTTTCACAACTTAGGCATGCGAGGCACAATCACGTACCCAATTCTCATTGCTGCAAGCTAACCACCTATCGCGCGCACGTGTACGCAAAAGAAAACAATGAAGCAAGAGAGGCCATCGATCAACCTTTCAGTACACAAAGGGAATAGGCGATTCCGTCTCTGCCCTCTGCCCACAAAAAAAACATCAAGACCCAATCACCGAGACTCGGAAAACCCCGCGCTGAGCTTCTGCCCATCTTCCCCCGGGCTCCTCGGTGGCGTAGTAGGCCCCTTGTGCGCGGTGGAGCGTCAGCTCCGCCAGCCGCTGCAGAGGCAACGAGAAGTCCAAGGCCACCGACATCCACCCCTCCCAGATCCTCGGGCGGGGGGGGGGGGGTGTGGGGGATCTTTTTCTGTATATGCATCTAGTAGAACAAAATACTAATCAAATATGCATATATATATACATACATATTTGCTTTTACATGTGTATATATATATATATATATGTACTTGTATATGTGTATATATATATATGTATTTGTGTATATATATATATATATTATGGTGTGTTTTTACATGTACATATATATATATATGTGTTTACTTATGAGAAGTTTAATGGGTCCCGGATCTTCTGGTGGACATCATTACCTTCAGATTCATGTCCACCCACTACTTTTCAGGCTCTTCAAATTCATAGCCAGCTGGGTGTCTTTTGTGAGGCTGCCCTTTTTATGGAAGTCGTTTACGTTCCTTCCCACATTTGAGGACAGACCCTGCTTTCTTGCCTCTTGGCCCTTGGCTGTATGATTGAATCACCCAAAAAGACCGGCTTGCCTGTCGCTTTCAGTCAAGAAGATGAACAACATGCCCAGCTCAGCTTCCGTCTAATTGATAGTTTGGATTGGTGGTTTGGAGGTTGGGGGGTAGCTTCCCATCTGCCCTCAACAAGAACCAGGGGATGAAATCCCCAAACAACCAATACCACCAGCTAAGGGGTACCTGATAGCTGACTCGAGTTACTGAAACAAAGCAATCACCAAACAACTCGTGGATGCTCGTTTGTCATGGCTTGATGTTTGGTCCCTGGTTGGAGGAGAAAGGCGACTCCCAAAAACAGTTGTTGCAATCTATTAGCTTTCCGCGCTGGTAATTACCCATAAACCGCATGAGAAGAAGACTGTTGAACGAAACAAGAAGTTCGTCTTGAATCAATGGCATGGAGTCCGGATGTCCGGCCATCCAATCTGAATTTCAGACGACCACGCTAACAAGCAGACAGCACCCATCACCAGGAATAGTTAGGGGCATACCAGCACATCGACATGAGCAACAGAACCACATCCTGTGGTGCCCGGGATCACATGTAATACTCCCCGACGGGACTCGCCCCATAGCAAGGCCGCCGAGACTCTCCAACACCTCATTGGGCGGCAGCAGTGGGTAGCCGGTCACATCGAACAGGGCATCGACGAAACGCATGCGCTCCAGAATGTCCATCAAGACCTCCCGAAACCTACGTGTGAAGAAAGTAAGACAGAAAATAAGAAAGAAAGACCAGGCTGTACACCTGTTTAGACATACAGTCTCTTCGCTATTCATCACTTGTAGTGTCCTCTGCGTGCAAGGCCATGATGAGAACTGGAGACAGTCAATTGAAGAGAGACAAAAGAGTTGCAAAAACGCTGCGACAGAAGCCAATGCAGTGTGGAATTCCTTTCAAACAGACCTGACATTTGCTTGTTTCCCATCAAACAGAAAATAGCTTTCTATGGCGTAATGTATTCCATTCAGGGCATTGGCCTCTCTTTGATTTACTCAGAAGAAAGCCGAAGGGAGATGGGAACTTTGTTGATTTTCGAGACTCTTGCTTTTGGCACCAATGGGCTCCAGCGAGCAGCACTTTTGAAGGGCTCCGATGGCTGTTTTTCAGGGGTTGAACAAGCGCAGATCTGCCGCTTGGCGAGGTCGCCTGGTAGGGGCGTCATGTTGGTCAAGGATAAGAAAAAAGAGGAAAGAGGCTGTAAACAAAGTAGTTCAGAGTTTCAACTCGTGTGCTTCCCAGCCAGCTTCTTTCCAGTGCCCAGTGTTCACCGCTGGCAACCACAGGGACGTACATGGAGAGAGCAGAGAAGTCTGCCAGGAAAATGAATCTGAAAAACACCAAAAACCTCGAGGAATACCGAACAAACAACAGTCCTCCAGACAAAAGGTCTTGGGCATGAGAAAAACCATTTCCCTCAGGACTGGATTTTTGTTTTGTTGTTTTTGTTCGAGAATGCGTGGTCTTTGCAAATGGCAGACCTTTCAGTGATGCTTTTTCTGGCTTTCTGCAATTAGGGATGCCTTTCAGGCATGTTTTTCTTGGTTTTGACCATGGGAGGCCTTACAGGATTGCTCAGAAACAGGCACATCGGGAACTATTTGTCTTTGAACTCCTCGAAATTGCTTGGTTTAGTGCATGTGATGCTTTCCGGACTGAGCCACCCCGTAACTAGAGGACGATTGGCCCGAAAGCCTTTTTCCCCAAGCGCTTCCCATCATGTGCTTTTCCAGCCGCAGAAACGCCCTTTTACATCGATGCAGCAGCTTCTGCAAAGCAGGCTCGTGCAACTGGCTCTATGTAACTTGACGCAAAGTGCCACTTGGCTCTGTGCCACTTGGCTCTGTGCAACTTGGCTCTGTGCAACTTGGCTCTGTGCAACTTGGCTCTGTGCAACTTGGCTCTATGTAACTTGGCTCTGTGCAACTTGGCTCTGTACAACTTGGCTCTATGCAACTTGGCTCTATGTAACTTGGCTCTATGGCAACTTGGCTCTATGGTAACTTGGCTCTATGGGAACTTGGCTCATTCGGAGAGCGCGAGTTGCTCTGCGCAAGTGCTGCCGGAGCTGTGGGAATGTACTTTGCGTACTATTTTTGTACTTAAAAGTTGCGATTTTCCAGCCGGAGCTGCGGGAGCACGCTCCGCATACTACGTCTGTACTTAAAAGTTGCGATTTTCCAACCGGAGCTGCGGGAGCACGCTCCGCATACTACGTCTGTACTTAAAAGTTGCGATTTTCCAGCCGGAGCTGCAGGAGCACGCTCCGCGTACTACGTTTGTACTTCAAAGCTGCGATTTTCAAGCCGGAGCTGCCGCGGACCAGGGGGGAATCGAACCCGCGACCGCGGGATTGCGAAAGCAGGCGCGCGAGCCACGAGACAACTTCCAAAGGCCATTTCGCGAGCAACAAATTCGCACGGCGCCACAGCGAGAGCGCTTCGACACGCACGATCCCCGCAGAGGGTCGCGCGCGGCTTGCAGAAATCGTAAAATGTCACGCGAATCTCCGCAGAGGGTCGCGCGCGGGCCGCAGAAATCGTAAACAAATCCTCAGTTTTTGAACCTCGACCACGCGAATCTCCGCAGAGGGTCGCGCGCGCACCGCGGAAATCGTAAAAAGTCCTCCGTTTTTGAACCTCGACCACGCGAATCTCCGCAGAGCGTCGCGCGCGCGCACCGCAGAAATCGTAAAAAGTCCTCAGTTTTTGAACCTCGACCACGCGAATCTCTGCAGAGGGTCGCAATCCCGAGCGATGATCAAACTCCCGCCCCGGCGCCTTGGAAACCTAAACCAACTTACATAGCTGCTTACGCCGAAGCTCTACGCAAGCTCTACCTAACCTTGGGTCTGTGCCACCTGGCTCTGTGTCACTTGGCTCTGTGCCACTTGGCTCTATGCAACTTGGCCCTATGTAACTTAGCTCTATGTAACTTGGCTCTATGTAACTTGGCTCTATGTAACTTAGCTCTATGTAACTTGGCTCTATGTAACTTGGCTCTATGTAACTTGGCTCTGTGTAACTTGTCCAAGGGCTCCGCACGGAAGAACCCTTCGCGATGCTTTCGGGAAAAAAAGGGACAAAACAAACACACGCACACACACACACACCAGCACTCAGAGCACTGGTTTCTGGGAACAAGCTGATTGGCCATTCAGACCTCGGGTTTGGATCAAGGCGCTCTTCCCAAACCTGCTGCAGGCGCTCCTCGAGGTCCGGCCGCAGCCCCACCCGCTCCTGTCGGGCTGGCGAGCCCCGGTGCTGAACCAAGGGAAGCGTCTGGGGGAAGAGTCCGGCTGTGGCTCTGAAATCCCGTTTCGCACCACGAGATGAAACCATGGTGAACCATTTGTGAGGGTGTTTACAGGGGCATCATCATTCCAGAGTTTCTTGGGTGAGGATGTCCTCCATCCACAGTATGACTTTGCGCCTTTAGGCAAAAAATATCGCAATGGGGGTTGGGAAAAAGTGTATAGTGTCCTTTCCGCAAGTCTATGAGACTCCTTCTGCATGGCGTATCGTCGCGCGCCCAACTAATCATGTTTTCAAAACGTGCAAAGCAAGCCCTCAGCCCTCATTAAACTTGTCTTGGGTTTTTGTGAAGGATTTGCTGTTGAAGACACCTTCCAGGAATATGGGTGTGTTTTTTTGGGGATCCCCCAAATTGGTGTTCCTTTTGGTTTCCCTTTAAAACCACAAAAAAGGGGTGCCCTGACAAAAAGACACCAATATGTTGGTTGACACTGGTGAGTTCTGAGTTCTCCTGCAGCGCGCCGCTATAGATCGTCAGCGCCAGCACCACCGACATCCCACCTGAACCGACTTTCAGATCTAAACAGCAAGTCCAAAATTGGAAGACTTCGGTGCCTAGTCCCAGCCCTGCACCCGATTTTCCTATGGCGTAAGTCTGCCTCGATGTTAGGCATGAGTCTGTCTGGATGTACAAAGCTTTGATCAGCACTCCCCAACCCCCCCCCCTTCCCCCGAAACCGGAGAAAAAACAACAAAACACGCCGCGCCAAATTTCGGCGCCAAGTTCTCAGCCGAGCCGCAGGCTTCCCGCACCAAGGTCCAGAGGTTCCGGGGCTCCTTTTCCAGATCCCGGCGGATGCCCCGCGCGACCTCGTCGAAGACCTCGGATGCGCTGAGTCAGCTGATCGCACTCCAGCGGAGTTGACTTTGAGGCAAAAGGATGAACAAGGAATTCTTGCCAACCTCCATGAGAGCGCGACTTGCCTTCGGTCCTGTGCACGGCAGAGCAGTGCAGAAGGCCGATGACCAACCTCCATTTTTAAGAAACCTGTCCAAGAGTAACACCTTCCTTCTGGAAGACAACATTTGTTGAATCTAGGTAACGTACCCGCAGATCACACCGACGCGGATCAATCATCCCTGGTGTTCCTTTGGAAGTTATTCCCGAGTGCACGACTTACACTGAGGTAGTTGATTGACTCCAAAGGGCGCACCCTGACTTTGAGGTCTTGGCACAACCGGCCCCCCAAATTCCCCAAAGCCCCACCACCACCACCCCCAACCCCCCCAGAGACGGCCCCCACCACCACCAACCACCACCCCCTCACCCAGATGTCCGCGCCCAGGTGCTAGGTCGGGCATGCCCCGCATGGCCTCCCGGCCCTTTGTGGCCGACTCCGGGCCCGTGAAGTCCGGGCAAACCGAGGACGCGCGGAAGGCGAAGGAGAACCACCTGGGCTTCCCCGATCAAAACCCGGTACTAAAATGGTCGATCCCCAGAACCTTGTAAGGAATTGTTCGAAGGCGGAGATCCGCAGCGAGTTTTCTGCTTGGGATTGTCTCTTACCAACCTTCAGCTACCCGGGTTTTGATTGTGGCTCACCTGGGCGTCCCCGATCTAAACCCCATCGGTATGGAAAAACGTGCGATCGGTGCGAGTAGGGAATGTGGGAATGAACCTGGGGAGGTATTAAATGGTCTGCCCAAATCCATGTAGATTCTTGTTCATCAAAATTTGCTGGTGCAGAAAGTAGGTAATATGGGAATGAAATGTTTTGGGGATTCCCTTTAAAGGAAACCACAAGGGGTGGTTTACAGGGGTCATTCCCTCATTCTGTGCTGAGCACCAGCAAGAACATGGTCTACCCAAATCCATGTAAGACAACTTTTCTAGACGGCCGCAGGTATTTCTGGCTGGGGATCTCCCTTCACCTTCACCTACCCGGGTTTTGAGTGTGGATCATCTGGAGTTGCTTGCCCATGCCCGGACAGGCATTCACTTGCGTCAAGAACCGAGGGGGCAAATGACTTGCGTAGCCTACGCCGGCTTGAGTTGTTTATATCTTAGAAAACGGCGCATGGCACCATGACACGGGCCTGGAATGGGAAATCTGCCCTGGTTTCCAGTGGTGCACAAAAGTTGAGCATCCGTTAAGGCCGCAACCATACCATCCGGGGCCTACAAACTGTTTCGGCGGGCTAAATCCGAGTTGGCCACAAACACGAGTTGAAAGCGTGGCAAAGCCGAACCGAGTGTTTCATCAGTCAGCGTCTCCCTACCTGTGAGAGCCCGTCGCGACTCGTCGCGTCATATCCTGCTTTGTGTGTTGCTTCTTGACGTTTCAGTGCCTGCGTCGCTTGCGGGCAGCTGTGGGGCACACAAACGTCTCCCTCTCTATTAGAGAAAAAAACCACCATGAGCTGCATACAGTTTTGCTTCGGAGATTCTGTGAAGCTGCATCTTCTATACAGGCGACAGGCGGGAACACCAGTCATGCCTGAGAGCTGATCATGCATGACTCCATGGGCCTAAACATGTTTCACTCACCGGTATTCACCACTCGCTTGTCTCCAGGCAAGCAAATTCTTGACCGGGGAACAACCACAAGGATTTGGAGCCAGGAATTCAGCCTCCTGAGAATCGATTCGGGCTGTCTCTGGGCTCGTGCTTACAAGCTTGCTCTTGATTGGGCGGCTAGTCCTTTTCAGGATTCGGACCGCGAACCCAAAACGGCAACGGTTTTCCTCTTGGCTTCCCCGTAAACCCACCAACAAAGGGGTACCAACTCTACAAGACCCCACATGGCTGTGGCTAAAAAAATGGTAAGTGGAAACACGGACCAAAACCTGCGGTTTGCCCCGTTCAATTTTGAGCCACACCCACGGGTTCTGTTCGCGGCACGCGGGGTCCCGGTCCAACTGCACTGCGAGGTGGGCGTTGTGGAAGATCCGATCCGCCGGCCAGGGGTCCGAGTGCTCCAGCAGCTCCCGCTGCCCCGCTGAACAGCACCTGGGCCCCATGGGTATGGGTCATGAAACCACCAATTGGACCACAGGGTTTAGTCCGTTCCATTGGGCAACCCATGGTAACCCATGGGCAACCCATTTTGGGCAACTGTTACCAGGGTGTTTTGGGCAACCCATTTTGGGGTTACCCTAGTTTTGTTTGACCCGATGCTCCCAGCAAACGGGAGGGCAATATTGATCCCGCAATCGAATCCAACTCGAAAGGTAGCGGGTGGCTCATCCCCTGCCAAAAGTTGTTAACTTTTAGGGGGTTAAGGTGTCACTAAACCCTAAAAAGCCAAAAAAACAAAAACGAGCGGGATTGCTGGGAGCCACCACGATTCAGGAACCGTGGAAGAGAATGTTGCGACTTACCCCAGATAAGAACGTTGCCTGGAGGCCTCATGTATCAGCACACACACACACAACTCCCGTGGCAAAGTGGGCTTGATGCCTTGGGAAGTGTCAAACAAGGTGTGTACAGCTTGCATGGGTGGTGGGTGGCGCACACGCACACGAAAACCCACACGCGCTCACTGACGCACACACACACACATTCAAAAGTCATGTAAATGAAACCCTGTAAATGAGGGTCATTTAAATGAGGTCCTTTAAATAAGGTCCTTTAAATGAGGTCATTTAAATGAGGTCATTTAAATGAGGTCCTTTAAATGAAGTCATTTAAATGAGGTCATTTAAATGAGGTGCTTTAAATGAGGCCCCTTTAAATGAGGTCCTTTAAATGAGGTCCTTCTTTGAGGTCCTTTAATGAGGTCCTTTAACGAGGTCCGAAAATGAGGTCATTTAAATGAGGTCCTTTGAATGTGGTCCTTTGACTGTGGTCCTTGAAATGAGGCCATTTAAATGAGGTCATTTCAATGTGAGGTCCTTTAAATAAGGTCATATAAATGAGGCCATTTAAATGAGGTCCTTTAAATGAGGTCCTTTAAATCAGGTCATTTAAATGAGGTCATTTACATGAGGTCATTTAAATGAGGTCATTTAAATGATGTTTTTTAAATGAGGTCCTTTAAATGAGGTCCTTTAAATGAGGTCCTTGAAATGAGGTCCTTTAAATGAGGTCCTTTAAATAAGGTCATATAAATGAGGTCATTTAAATGCGGTTTTTTAAATGAGGTTCTTTAAATGAGGTCCTTTAAATGAAGTCATTTAAATGAGGTCATTTAAATGAGGTGCTTTAAATGAGGCCCCTTTAAATGAGGTCCTTTAAATGAGGTCCTTTAAATGAGGTCCTTTAATAAGGTCCTTTAAATGAGGTCCTTTGAATGAGGTCATTTAAATGAGGTCCTTTAAATGAGGCCCCTTTAAATGAGGTCCTTCAATGAGGTCCGAAAATGAGGTCCTTTGAATAAGGTCGTTTAAATGAGGTCCTTTGAATGTGGTCCTTTGACTGTGGTCCTTTAAATGAGGCCATTTAAATGAGGTCATTTCAATGTGAGGTGCTTTGAATGAGGTCCTTTAAATGAGGTCCTTTAAATGAGGTCCTTGAAATGAGGCCATTTAAATGAGGTCCTTTAAATAAGGTCATATAAATGAGGTCATTTAAATGTGGTCCTTGAAATGAGATTCCCTCAAACTCCTCTCTTGACGTCTTTAGTCACGGAACTCCTCAAAGGTGTCGATGCTGTCCCAGCAATCCTCATTTCCTCGTTCGCCATGCCGCTCATCACAGCAGAAATCGAAGGAGATGTCGCCCTTGTGGTAGCAAAGGCGCACCGTTCCGGATGGTGCGTCCAGGTAGTAGGAAACCGGATACCTGGGCAAAACATGACCGTGACAAAGTTGTGGAGTGTGGATCGTGCCGTATTGGGAGATCACGGCCAGCAACAGTCACCAGGCCAGCAACGCAGTGCCGCTTAAGTTCATTTGAGACGCATCAAACTCAAAGTAGGGTCGCGACGGGATTATTGCGTCTCTTGCTTTCGATGGATCCACGAGGCCAATGTCACTGACATATTCAAATGAAGCACGCTATGAACAATTCCGGAGGAAATGATGGAATCCGCCGCCCCAAACTCGGCCGCACTGAAAGCTGACCAAGCTGAGATGGCTTGATTGCTTCTGACATTCAGCGGTGGTCTTCGCTCATGATGTTCATCAACGTCATAAATAGCTATAGGTGGAAAAACCAGTCCTTTTTGTTCCCTATGAATTCTATATGATTCATATACTAAATGAAAGATTGAAGCAAGCAGCCATAAAATCGTATCGGAAGGTTCATGATTCAGGATACCGTACCCTTTGCGGCTGGACAGCACCGGAATCGGAAGGTGATGCTGGGCTTGGGGACAGCTGGACCTTGTATTCACCCATCGCTTTCATTGACTTCGGAGCAAACCCGCCACTCGGTGGCATAGTCGGAGTCACCTCTGCATTCAACCACGATAACCCCGAAATTGGTTCTTTTGGAGATGTTTCAAGCCCGTGTAACATAGAGCATCATATAAGCCCCTTCAAGTGCCTCTGAGGGAAGTTGAAAGGGGCCAAACAGGTGCCACAAGGTACAAACAAGCATCAGCAAAGGCAACAGGTGCCAGACTGCCAAAGATTGGCAACACCAGCGGCCAAACCAAACCGAGCAACAAAACAGTTTTTGGAAAAGGCAACTTTGCCAAGCGGCAGGTGCTTAGTCTCGAAGGGCACCCGTGGATAGAACTCAGCGATGCTTGGCCATGGCAGCAATGCCCACGCGCGCATGGCACGTGGCTTGGCGTCCGTGGGAAACCTGCCCTGGGCGTGTGTTTTTGGAGTCATGGTGTAGTTTTACAGAGGGTCGCCTGCAAAATGGGTCCTTTGTCAAAGTCCTCAATAGAGACGATGCTCAGAATCAGTGAGACCGTCTGCTTGACGGAATGCTTGTCCTCACCAAGCGCAGGGGTTGGGGTTGGGGGTGGGGCTATCTGGCGCATCTTTGGTGGTTTTTGAAGACCCGAAAGGCAGACACCTCCTAGTCCCGGGACTTTTTTTTGGTGAAAGAGCCTGGCATCTGGATCCATCTGTCTATAATGGTGCCTTGCAACATGAACTATTCAGAGCTGATGCGATCCAGTTGCCATTGACGGCATTCCCTACTCGCAGCCACGTGGCTTGGGGATGGACCGCAAGTCGAAGCATTTGGTCTGGCGCAATTGCGCTCCGGGCATGCTCAATGACTCTGCAGCTTGGCAAAAAACACACGGGCTCTGGCTTCTTGGCAGTTCCCCAGTAGAAGCAAACAGAAACAAAGAAAAAAGCTTGCCAAGAACAGTGAATTTGAGGAAAGTGCGGGTTCCGTTTCATGGACAAATGGCACGACTTTATCTGAAGCTGCAGCCGCATGCGGCCTCCAATCATCACTGCAAGCAGGGATTAACAAACTGGTGACCGACTCTTCTTGAAAATCACTGCACACACACACACAGCAAAAAGCGACTCCATAGGCTCCAGAAAGGCGCATCAATTTGCTAAGCGAGCAAATCCGCAGCGAATCCTTCGGATGAAGCTGCGGGCAAACGGAAAATGGCAAACTGTGCGGGCAAGACAATTCAAAATAAGATGGAGATCAAACAAGGGAATGAGGTGTGAAAGAAAATGCCAGGCGATCAACAGACTCAGGGGGTGGTGATGTCTTAAAGGGATGACACTGCCGCAAACGATGAAATCTCATATAATAATGTGTATATATTTATATAGAGCCAATTCCGCCAAGTTCGCCCTCACCGGAGTGGCGCAACTAGCAACATGCGCCTCTTTGGCCGCCACGAGCCGAAGGCTCTTCGACTCTTGATTGGCAAAAGCTTGCTGGATCTCCAAGATTTCTCGCTTACATTCACGGCTCTTTCCGCATTTGCCGTGCGTCTTCTACGCAAAGCAACGACATAATGATACGTGAGAGGCATTGTCAAAAGGATGGGCCCCGTTGGGGGGCACGTTGGAAATACATGGAAAGACGGCATAAGCCAGAATGAAAGTGGGGTCCCAAAAAGGTCCATCCCTCTTGCAAACCTCGGACATCCAACTAGGCTTCAGCTGCGACTTCTTGCCTCGTTGCCGCACGACCGGCAAAAGATGAAGTCGGCGACAATGACTTCCACTTTCAACGGCATGGAATATCCGACATCGTCCTTGTGGGAAGAAAGCATGTTTTTTGCTGAGGGGCCCTGGTGGCACAATATGAAATCCGTCTTGGAGAGAAAGCCTGCCGCAACTGGTGCGCCTCTCTGGGTGTCAGGCGCACGGCGGGCCCCGTAAGACATTGCTTTCCTGGCCGTTGCACTCCTTGCATCTTGCATGTTTTCTTGGTGAGCGACGGCAAGAAACCTCGGAAATTGACAACAGGTGCAACCCCCACAAGCGAAGATCTGAATTGCGTTCCATCAAGGCCCACTCATCCAGAATTCTCAATGTGGCAATGGAGAGTGCCACTTCGGATCCACCCAGTTGCGGCTTCTGCCTAAAAACATCACCACTTGGACATGCCCGCCTGTACTCAGCGAAGGACAAGAATTTGCTGTCGCCGCTTTGTGCCTTAGACAGATGGCTGTGGGTCAAAAATATGTACCCAAAATGGAACCCTGGTAAATGGAACAAAGGACTAAAACCTGTGGTCCCCTAATGATTTAATTTTGACCCAAAACCAGATGCAGCTCTTGCTCTGAAAGCTCTGGCGCCGCTTCAATGGCTACCTTTCGACACATGCGTCGCATCTCTTGCTCCTCTCGTACGTATCCAGGGAAACTCTGCGAGCCACGTCCCACATACTAACACTGAACAAAAGGTGAGCATGCAATGATTGAAGCAAGCGGCTAGCGCGCTTTGTCGCCTTCTTCCGTAGGACATAGTTTCCCGGTACCTGTACGAAGTAGAATTTGAGCACAAACGCACACTCCCGACTCCTTGTGCATCCTTCTGTTGGACAGACATAGAACAAACAAATACCCTCCCAGCCAACTATCCCAGAACCTCACTGGAGGCCCCTGGAAGATCATTTTCCTGGCGGGATCTGCTAGTGACTTCTAAAGTTCTATGTTATAGTGCGTGGGAGGGTTGCCGCCTACTCAAACTCACATTGTCGGTTTCGCATCCTCGATTGCTGCGCCTTTAGTCATCTGTCGACTTCAGGTGTTTGATTCTGCGAGATCTGCCAATACAATCCTCAGTGCTGGTCTTGCTAGCCGCAGTGTGTATGTCAACCATATGCGTAATTCCCACACGTCAAAACTAGTTGCGCTTCCAAAACGTGCGACGATAGTTTTACTCCAGCTGTTGGATCTATCATTTGTGGCATCAACAAGTAATAACAAATTGGCACAAGTAAATCCTCCAAGAGCGAGTTGTTATGGAAACTTGTCCCTAGCTTTACGAGGATCATCATGACGCAAACAACAAACATCAATGAAAGACCGTGAAAAGGCGAACTGGCAACAAGCAGATTGACTAAAAGTTGGGTTCTCTTTCTCACCTTAAGGCGTACTGTTTAAATTGTTCTCAACTTGGTAGAAAACCTGTTACATTACATCATGGGAGATGGTTCAACGTGGGTGTCTTCCCTTTAGTTTTCCTTGAAGACACCACCACAAAGGGAACCACCGACAAAAAGACAAAACAAGTACACTCATAATCATGACTAGATCCTCCAGTAGAGAGCATAGAATAAGGGTACCCTTTTTTTCGGTAGTCTATTTTAGTAGGGGAACCCTCTCCCAAAAAAGAAATGGCAAAAGGCCACGACTGGGGAACCTAGATGATACATGCCCATCTGATGGGGTTTGTCAGTCCCTTCCCGCTCCCTGCGGGCCGCTGCTGCGCCAAAACCATGGCTCTGCGCTGCTTGTAGCCCTGCAGGCCAAGCAAAAGGCCCCAAGAGCAAAGTCACTTGTTGCATCAACACAAACACAACACACACACACACAAACACGCACACATACAAACATGCCCCCCAAATCCAGGCGCGCACATGTACACACGAAAAACGCGCTGAATTCAGTATGTCCGCATCATATCAATCGCCCGCATTTTCTTTCACTGCATCCCGGGAGCGACTGGGGTGCCGGCTGAGGCGTCCACGTCCTGGGAGGCCTAGATGCGGGGATGAGATCCGCCGGCATTGAACACGATGGCTCATCGAGTTGCATAAACTCACCTGCCCAAAGGGCCCCCGGACATAAAAGGTTAACCAACTTTTTGGGACCTTTACTAAACATGGACCAAATCAGGGAAAAAGATGCAAAGGTCGATTCGCTTTGGGCAAGTGAGTAAATAGGGGGCGAAGCTCATATTGAGAGTTTGAACAAGACTCGTACAATTCCTTACATGGGATTCGGGCGCTGCAAAGCTCGGACAGGGCCCTGGCCTGAGAAACTGGTGTCGCAGGCACAGAAGGACCAGCTCGAGCTGTGGGCTCTCCTTGAGCAGACGGAAGCGCCCGACTGAGATGCTTGGGTCTGCCAAGCTTGGAGAACCCTTTTCTCATTCGACCACCAAGCGTTTCTGTTGTGTGATTCATGATTCCCCATCTGATTGTGTTTGTTCTTTGTTTATTCCGAAAGGTCAGATCGTGAGATGCTGCTAGCTCTTTGAGAATGTCGGGCAGAGACACACCAACCCCTTCAATATCCTCGTCACGCATCGAGGGAGTGCACGAAAAGGGCTCTTGGTCTTGCGCTCACAGGGGTGGCTCGCCGGTGAGTTGGTACCCTCTTTGGGCTGGGAACTAAAGGGAAACCAAAAGGACACCGACGCCATTTTGGGAGGTACCTCAAGGAAGAGACACTCAAAGAACCCCCCAGAATGATTGCTTCGTTTATGGCTTCCCTTTAAATCCAGGCAAGAGGGGGTTCTCAATTTTAGGTAGTGCCCATGTCAACATGAGCACATTCATGCAGTCACACAACAGATGGGTTTGCTGGAAGGTTTGCGCTAATCGAGTAGCTGCAGCTGCGCCGATGTCACTCAAATAGACTTTAGTCAGCTCCGACCTGGTGTCGTTTAAGCCAGTTAAGTTGCACGTAGCGCGTTTTGAGTTTCTGAGTTGATGAGTTTAACTCTACCACTCGCATGGTAGCAAACAACTTCTGTTTTTTGCAGCCCCCCCCGTAAACATGAACAGAACCAAACAGCCGAAAAAAAAGGAAGAAAAAAACAGACGAAAAAAAAAAGCTGCCCAGAACGGTGAAGCAAACTTTGACGTTTCATTCTGCTTCGCCCCCCATCGCCCCCAATCCACCCGAGGCTCTGGTGGACACCGCAGAGACATAGGAGGCGTTGGAGTCCGCCGAGGCCCTGAGGAGCGACGACTCCGGCTGAGGTGACCTTCAGGGGGTCGTTTTTGCCACCGATAGGGGAGAAAATGGGCGACTCAATCCAGGTTTTGATCCCCAGAAAAAAAGAAACCACCAGTTGGATGGTTTAGAGGGGTCATTCCGTACGTCATTCCCTGCTGAGCACCAACCCTCAATGGGTTGGTTTGGGAAATGGAAGGACTACAACCTGCAGTCCGTATCCTGATAGACCGATACCCAAGTGTGTGTAATGCGTCCCACACAGCGATGCCATGCCCCTAACCAGAACTGGTAGCTCCCAAAGGCTTTGTCTTGATAGGCAATTTTGGATAACCCCAGCTTCTTGGCCCCATTACAACCACGAGCTAGAGTACACTCTCCTCCTTAGTTGTGGAAGCTAGCGCAGTTAGGGTAAAGGCCTCCTGTCCACTCCTTGATAGTGAGAAAAGAGGCACTCACGCGGAATAAGTCATGATGCTGGAAAAAACTGGCTCACACATTTACACGGTCAAACAACACCACAATAAACCCTCAAAAGAACTGGTTTGCTTGTCAATCTACTTACATGGCAGGCCATTGCATATTGAAGACATAAGTGCTATGCTGAATCAACGGAAAGGCATAAAGCAACACCTGTGCCAAGTCCTCTGCAGGCGAAAGGGCCTGCAAACAACTCCTGGAAGCTTTCCAACCCACGACGTCAGCTCCAAAGATCGTCGCTCCAAACGCTGTCCCAGACCGCTTGCCGACCTGACAACACTTGACTTTGGACACAGGTGACCTGACAAGCTCAACGGACGAACATCGGCTTGCGACTTTGGATGACTTCGGTGGGTCATTTGGGGTAAACACGGCCCTTTTCATCACCTAACTTGTGGTCGTCAATCCAACACCTAGGAGCCCCAGTCTTACACGGGGTCCATGGTGTCCCTGGAATTCAAGCTGAGTTCCGTGGACCCCTGCCACCCTCAAGCTGTTCAGTTGAGCAATGCAAAACAGACTTGAGCCAAAATGCCAGGTTTGGGCATTTGGGCATTTGGGCATTTTGGCATTTTGGCTCATAGTGATTTGCAAAATGGCACCGCTGCGCTCTTCCAGAAACCAATATCTGGTGAGACCAGAAGTCGCTGGTCGAAGGCTGCCGAGTTGCGCCCGGAGGCGGGAGCTCGAAGGCACCTGACGCTTGAGTTGCTTGGGGATCCCTGACATGCCCAAAGCAAACGGAAAATGAAGGCACCTAACGTGGCCACTTGAAGGGAGGGGGTTCCTTTACATGCTTAAAGTAAACAAAAACTGTTCGCCTTGACCCAAAAGCTGGTGTTTGACGCCAGAGAAACCTTGGCCCTCACAGAGAGGGCAGGAGAGCCCAGCGTGACAGCAGAAGCCATTAACAGCGCGCAGCACACATGATAGTGTGTGAGAATGAGTCGGACCCCTTTGTTCTAGAGCACTTTGGGAGAAGAACCTGCAATGTCACCAACCCATCCGTGACAAGCCCCTGGTTTGGACACACCCTCCCTGTAATCCGAGAAAATGGTGTCCACCTCCTCTGTCGATTTGACCTGGCTTCCCGGCCCGACGCTCGGTTTGTCAAGCGAATGGGGCCAAGGTTTACGGGCACATCTGTCCGTCATGAGAGATCACGGATCAATTATCCGATCTGAGATAAATGGCGAAAAATAGGCGCCCCTGGTGGAAATATACCGCGGGAAAAGCATGGCGATGCGAGGATGTGGTGGATGCGACCCGCGTGGCCGAAGGCTGAAGAATGGCCATATTGATTTACACCGCTCTGCATGACAATGGCAATCTTCGACCTGCTGACCATTTGCCCGAGGATGATTTGTGGTCATAGCGAAGAGATACAATTGAATCGTGATGAATTCGGTGGTGATGGTTCCCATTGTGAACATGTGCTGAACTGCCAACACGAGCAGCTTTGTCTTGGTATTTCGCTTTTCTGAGTCTGTGTTGATTGCGTTTCATGTAGTGATGGAGTTGTCACGTGCTTGCCGTTTGTTGAATTTAGATGCTGGCCTGCTTGCATGAGCGTACGTGATTGCTTTGATTTGACTTTTGATTGCTTTTGCCTCAGGTGTTCGCGAAAGCTCTTGCAACAAGAGAGCAGCACAAACCTGAAACTACCCGCTCCTTCGCAGCTTGCAGGCTGGGCCAACGCGACTCCTCAACCCATTTCCAGATCACAACTACCTCCCAAGCATTCTGACTGGCGAGAGCCACATGGCTGTGGGTCAAAAACAGGTACCCCAAATTGAAGCCTAGTAAGTGGAAACATGGACCAAAACCTGCGGTCCCCTGGTGGTTTAATTTTGACCCATGCCCACATAGATTTTGACTCCAAGACTCCAAGAGTCTCTTGCCCATCTAAGCCTCGCCACCAAATACATGGGTGTGTGATTCTCGCAGAACCCACTAAAAAATTGATGGCTTTCCTTTTGGTTTCCCTTTGCACCTCAAAAAAAACAGCCATATCAGGTGGTCCAATACATTTGCAGGCAGCTCAGCTGAGCGACCGAATCCTTGTGCCCCGGCCCCGGCCTTCAGTAGCGAGGACTCCTGCGTTGCAACTTTCTGACTGCGGCGAATGGATAGGTCCATTCCATTGTACTTGAGTCATAATCAAAACCCGGTATTGGGATGGGCTACCCAGAACCATGTAAAGAATTAAGAAAGCGGCCGCAGCTATTTGTGGTTGGGAGTATCCCTAGCTAACTTTCATCTACCCGGGTTTTGATTGTGGTCATGACTTAGAGCCAGTCCAAAGAGTGCCTGGGAAACTTGAAAAGGATGTCGTGAATGCCCTACGCGTTTGCGAGCGTTCGCTGAGTTTGCCCCTTGCCACAGCATTCATCCGTCCAACGCTGAAAAGGGCAACAACGGGTCTTCAGTGTCCCTCACCCCAGAATCCGCTCCGAAGCACCGCTTGCGGGTCAGCGAAATCTGCAGCAGCTGTAGGCTTCAACATAAACTGGTGGTCACGATGCTATCCTGCAGATCAAATGCTCGTTCGCTGTTGGCAGCAGCTTCATCAAGCTGGCCAGTCGGAACCCAGGCTGATGCCCCTTTCGGTGGAGATGGTGTGTTTGCCTTGGATGTGGCTGCATGCTGGCAACATAGCAGCATCCATCGATTTGAATTGCTAGTGATAGACTTGGTTGGTCCGAGTTCATGACGTGTTACGACCTCCGCAGGCAAACCAGTCAAACCACAAGCAGGCCCACATGCTACATTAGGTCTCCTCAAGGACTGTCTGGAAGCAAACCGGCGTGGTAATCTAAGCCTTCCAGCTGTAGCTCATGCTGAGCGGTTTGCCCCAAGGAATTCAAGATGCATCTCCGATTTGAGAAGCAACAGGCTGACCAGCTTTGACCATGAAACAATCGGGTTGTGCGAGCATGGCCAACACGGTATCAAGCACTCCAAACAAATATGCCCTTTGCTTTCAAGGCCATGCCATTCGTAAACATTCGATTCGCAGTGTGCTGCACGAGCACTGCGAAAACCCGCGTGGCCGAAAAAGTGCACTGGGTCGCATGTCACTTTCCTTAAGCCACGCATACTTCTTGCACAAGGCTTCTGATGGGCTTTCTCAGGGCCAGTACCCTCCCACCAGCTAACATGGCAGTGCACAGACCCCTGTAGAAAGACTACTTTCCTCTTGGAAAGGGCTTCTTTGCACTTCCATGCTAGTTGTTAGTTGGTGGGAGGGTAGTCTGCTTGAACATGCGCTTCGGTCCTAAACAGCAAGCTTCGCGGCTCTCAAGTCTGGACAAAAATACCAGGTTGTTGCCGCACGCCTAAAGCTTCTATCCGCGCAAAGCATGATGCGCACTATGGGCAACATTGGTTGGGATGCCTGGGATGGATTCAAACAGTGAGTATTTTAGTGGGGATTGGGATGTTCACTGGGGGGTACGGGGTTTTTGACCCATGGCCACATGTGAATTCACGGGTGTCTCGTCTATACCAAGCAAACATGAAGGCAGTATTCCGGTTGCTCACCCTCGCTCCTGCTTTGCTCGCTCTTTGCTTGCAGAGCCTGGATAGAAGTACGAGCAGCAAGCCGAAAATCTCTGGCACATGCATTTATCCGCTCTTCCCAAAAAGACAGCCACCTTGCAAGTTGCACCTTCCGGTCATCTAGCCACTCCCTTTTGCAACGCAAACATAATCAGTCCAAACAATTTATTTATAACGATGAGGCCTTCTCCATCTCGTTCTCTCTTGGATTGCAGGGCTTCGCCCTTCTCTCACACACAGGGGTTCCAATCAAATCCTTTCAACTCACTGTTCGATCAGTGCTCTAATCGCATTCACAAAACTTCGGCTGATTTAGTGGGGGTGGGGGGGGATTCATCATTTCTGCAGGGGGACAACCCCTACAATAGGACAGTTGTTTATTGATCCTGTGCCAACATGAGATAATTTACTAGGGGCATGGTGGCGTCCTTGCAATAGGAATCAGCACAGGTGTAGCACGGCTGAGTGCCCGCCTTGACTCCTGTCTTTGACGACCTCAGCGATCGACTTCTGAGAAAAAAAAAGGCTTCTGGTCAGGTCAGACTTGCATGGAGTTCGACTCAATTGAGGGGAGCATACGTTTCAGAACCATTCTGGCCAGTGTCTTTCATAGAGCTATTTCCTGGCGATCAAACATGATGCCTTGCCACCCATCAAGCAACCACACCTTGTTCAATCAGTGGACCTACATTCCGCAGATTCGTCTTACTCTCAGGGAATCCACTCAGAACTTGCTGCACCTTGCTACTGCAGCATAAGACAATCTTCTCAGCCGCCCAATTTCTCCAGGGTCCTAGCCGCGACAACTGGGCTGGGACAAGCAATGCCAAGTGGAATCAAGCAATTTTGGACCAAAAACCTGCTGCAGGGGGGAGGGGGGTGGGCGGCCCCCAATTCCATTTATCTAGTCTCCCCAACAAAAGGGAACATGGAACCAATGGATTTCCAGGGATCACCCCCCCCCCCCAAATTCCATTCTTAAGGGGGGGATCATTTTGGAGAAAAAAAAACCTGCCAGACAACTTCCAGACGCTGATCCGTCCCCTGCCAGCTGTTCACTTGGGAGGGTCAGACTTGGGGCGAAGGCCACCTGGTAGCCCGACCTGGCCACCACCCACACGGAGGGGAATCGGCAAAGGCGTCCGTGGATTTGGCGGGGGCAAAAGCGAAGACTTGGGTGTGTTCGTCAAAAATCGGGTACCCCAAAATGGGACTGTGGCAAATGGAACTGTGGCAAATGGAAAGGACGAAGACCTGCGGCCCATTTCCTGGAATCTGTGGTACGTGCCAGGGCAAGCGCATGGCCCAATTGAAGGCGGTCAAATGTCATCAATTGTCCAGCTGCCGTATTGGTGGGGTTTCGGGCCTGGGCGATCCCGGCTGGCAACAAAAGACCCCCATTCATCAAGCCGCAAGCGCCAGGGCCAAACTTCACCTCCGAGATATTACAACAAGAGAGAACGACAAAGGAACCATCGGCTCTTGCACGTCAATGGCAACATGCCGCCGTGTCCCGCCTTGGCTCCTTCGGCTCCTTGGGATCCTTCGGCTCCTTGGGATCCTTCGGCTCCTTGGGATCCTTCGGCTCCTTGGGATCCTTCGGCTCCTTGGGATCCTTCGGCTCCTTGGGATCCTTCGGCTCCTTGGGATCCTTCGGCTCCTTGGGATCCTTCGGCTCCTTGGGATCCTTGGGATCGTCGTCCTTCTTCTTCGGTCGGCTGCGGCTGCCCTTCGGCCGGCCCTGCGCACGGAGGGGCGGAAGGCGAAGTTCACAGAGATCACCCAACGGGATACGATGGCCTGCATGGGTCTGGGGTTTTGCCCAGCGTCTACATAAAACGACTTGCATGGGTCTGGAGGCCACATACCAGGCGTGCATGCTTTAAACATAGCGCTTGAAGCATCCCCTCGTGAACGCCGCTTGACAGCCGCGTAACTGACCATCGCCATATCGAGAAGCTAAGGGCAATCAGATGCGCGATTATGCCGACGTCAGACCAAGAACAGCGTCACCTTGGCGGCTGTAAATGTTGGCCTCAAACAACATCGTAACATCAATGACTATATTGTCCGTGCTCCAACATGCCTGATAAATATCCCTTTGCCTGTATACGACGGATTTTTGTCTCAGTATAGTTGGGCAGAAAAGAAAACAAATCTTTAACCTTTGCTCGGTCACGCAAAACGCAAACATCGTTGTGGGTAAGCTGGTTGCAACACACAAAAGCTTGTGTTTATGCGAGGCTAGCAAACGGGACTTTCAGTGCATTCATTGGGTATACGGAGATGACAACCCTTGGAGAGCACCAGGCACTTGTTGGCACATTTGAGTAACCAGTCACATACAGTAGCCCTAGTCTTGCAAAGCTGACACCAACAGTCAAAGGGTTGCTGGTAGTTGCTGGCTGGCTGGTCCCCCACCTCCGATCTATGATCCAAGTAGCACGCCCAAAGCCCTGCGCTGCAGTTGAACTTTCGCCAAACACAGTTCCATCTCATTCAACCTTCTGATGGGTCAGCTGAGCGAGTCTATTCCTCGTGCACCACCCTCTCTACACTCGAATGCGCCTCTGGCCGCGTACTGCCTTGGCAGTTTCTGAACGGGGATGTTTCAGGTTGAACTCTCACTTCGCAGACCGGAAATTCCAGAAATGTGGCGTCTCGTGCGTCTCGTTCAGGGTTGGATCAGTTGAGAAATCCAGACCTCTGTAAAGTCTGGGAAGTTGATTGACGAGCTCAGGAACATCCAAATGACAAAGCTTTCGGGAAGGAAACATCTAGGCATGGCCCGATAAAACCAAAACGGGCACCCGAGAGGCGCCAGTAAAGACTCCCCGTCAGCCGACGGTCGAATCCCAGCCAGTCCCGGCCCAAACTTGTTTAATTCCCTGGTGTAATACGTCCCATCCTTGGCAGCGCAGCCACAAGGCTCCCCAAGGCCCGAGCCTTCCGCGTCTTTGCTTGGGCCCTTGCGTGTCCTGGCACGATGTGGAGGTTGATCAAAAGGTCCTTTGCATGGGATGACCATTGCTCGGTTGCTTCTTGCTCCCCTGCTAAAAGTTTAACTTTTAGTGGTTTAATAAAAACAAACCAACAAAAAATAGTTGGCAAACAGTTAAAGTCCTAACAAGCAAAATGCACCTCTGATTGGGAAAACCCAATCAAACAACTGCTACTTCCCGCTAAATGGCCAAAAAATACCCATGGGGCCAAGGGGAATATTGATCAACCCCCGCGTGGCAATGGCATGCGTGGCTTGCGTAAGTTCATGGATTGTCAGCCGTAGGATTGAAATGAACGCTTTCAACATTCTGACATGGATCAGAGGAAACTATGGTTCATCATCTCCGGTCCCAGGGCGAATCCCTGCGCGTGAACCTGCATCGGAGTCACCCAGTTTTGGAGCCTGAAGCTGCCTGCACGGATCGAAAGCCGGGCCTGGAGCCAGATCGCTCTTCCACCGACATGGCAACGATCAAGTATGACAAAAATCCCTTGCAACGGGATGCCTGGCTGGTACACTCTCACTTGGTTCTCCTTAACACAACAGAGGGTTTTGCTTGTCGCATCCCTTGGTAGTGCTCAGATCTGTAGTGGCCGGCTCAAATAAGCAGGGCATCTTTGCCCCAGTTGCAAAGACCTTGGCTGGGAGCAAACAAACACCGCCACAACACTTATCATTTCTTATTATTAGCAGGATTGCTGAACAAATGCTCCTTGTTGAGGAGCAGAACGTGACTCCAATAAGATCTTGGCCTTCTGGCCCGATCCCCTCTCATTCGCCAGAGCTGGCTTGAGAAGCAAACGCGACAGTCCTTTTGGCAACCCAGGCCTACAACTGCAAGTTCTGCATGTCACGTAAACTTCCTGCCCTTAACTCCATCTGGGTCGACGATACAGTGTGCTGTCAAGAATGCTGCCTTTTGCGACCAAAGCTCGCTTTTGGACCCATGAACAGGCTTTTCCGATGTAACCTTCGCTTCTCGAGATACTAACGGCGCCTGCCAATACAAATTTGATGATTCCCGCGTCTTTAATTCCAAGCTCCAAATAGCAGCTGCCAGAAACAATACGTCTGTCGTTCACACCTCGACAAAGCAAAAAGAGCCGAAATGGCATATTCACCTAAGCAGGTTGCAGTACTTTTGCTTGCCTAATTTCGTCGAGGATGTCCAAGTAAGCACCAAAGAATTGTCAGCACAGGTGTCCTTGCGTGCCGCCTCAGACTGTTTCTTGAGCCAAATCTAATGTTAGTAAGGCGTGAAGAAGTGCGCTGCCGGTCAACATGAGAAGCTTCAACGCCAGACTGGCCCCAGTATTTTACAAGTATCAAAGTCACCCCCCAAGTGGTAGGTTAAAAGGAAATCACAAGAGTTTCTGACTTTGATGACAGCCAGAAATAGTCAAAGTAATGTACCCGGCGCCATGCAGTCCTCTATCACTCTGCTCTGCTTTTATAGGCCGTCGAAAGACATTTTCCATGATAGCCTCATTGACTCTCTCTCCTCTGCACTTCTATTCCCCTGCACTCCTCTCCTCTTATATCCTATCCTATCCTATCCTGAATTCTTATATCCCGTCCTGTCCCTGTCGCCTCTCTCAGCCCTTTTGACAATGGCGACGCACGACGCACTGGCACGAACCCGGGGCTTTTCCCGAGGTCCAGTCTAAGAAAGCGCCAAGCCTGAGGCCCAGACGAGGGGTGGCGGGACATCGGCATGCCCATTGTTTTTGGGTTCCCAAAGCCCAAAGGCTCCCGATTGGATTTGGGGCCCCCAGGTTTCGAGACCCCAACCACCTCCGGGGTGTCTAATGGAGGGGTCGGGTCTTCCATTGAAAGCCCCCAGGCCTCTGCGTTGAACAGGAAAGCTGATCAAATCGGAAGGGCACGTCCAAAGTACACGCCGCCCGAGTGTTTCCATCAGCGGGCCTCAGGGTGACATTTGCCTTGATTTCGGTGGTGGTTGTAATTAGTTGTTCTGCCTGAGGCTATTCCGTTGAGCCACTTCAAAAGCTTCATGATTCAAACAAACAGCAACCAGTCACAGGATTCGCCAGGGGCATCTTATCATAAGCTTCGGGAAGGCACAAATCGCTTACTTGATGCAGCTCAACGGCTAGGGCCGAGTCTACATCGCTCCGGGAAACCCTCGGCAGAGTGCGCAGCTCCTGATCTTCATGTTCTCGCTGCACGCGTATGGCACTCAGTTGCCCCTCCAATCATGGAAACTGATAGGAAGCTGTAAAAAGACAACCTTCTGTTTGGGACACCTCCCTGTCTTCCATGATTGTTGGAAGGGTAAGCAAACAGATTGCTTACTTAGCGCTGAATAGCCTTTTTCACCTTGCCCTTTCCACCTGGCCCCTGACCTGATTGCAAGAAGACCAATCCACGGGGGGAAGGTCTTCTTCCTTATTCTTTGCTCAATGCGGGAGCTGCTGTATTGGCTCGGATGGCTGCCTGCTGATTCAGAACAGGAAATGTGGAGCCATTTGGAGTGAGTTGAGAGAATCATTGGAACGTCAGCAATCTCATTCGCACTAACCCTAGTGGGAAGGTTGAAAGAGTGAAGCTGTTTCAGCTGTCAGGGATCTTCCCTGAAGATTGTGCTTCAGGCATGAATCAGATTGATGGCGCGGATTGGAGAAATATCTTCATGTTGCGATGAATTCCTTTGCTGCGGATCCGAGCAGCGGCTTCCATGAGTCAACCGCAAGCCGTCGAAGCCTGCGGACGAGCTTTTGTGACATCTGACTAATGTGACATAGGATTCGTGGGCAGACGTGGCGAAATGAATCTTCTCACCCCCAAACCCCAAACTCTGCTGGCCCCGTGCGATGTCCGGCCCGAAGGAACTTGTTCGCACACCCCGCGAGAGCTGGGCGGACGTGGAGAAGCGGCCAGGCCAAGGCGATTGGGCCAGTCTAATGAACCGCTTGCGACTTTTTGCCAAAAGCATCCAACATGGGAAGACTCCAAGACGTCCTGCGAGCAAAAAAATAGGATGTGGTGAGGTAGTGTATCCAGATGGCAAAATGATGCAACATGTCTTTGTATGTCATTCGGCATGGTTGATGAACAAACAGCCATGAGCACAGCATGAGGTATGTAGAAACGTTCTGCCTAGAATTTTGTTCTAACAATGGAGAGCGCGAGTGCCGATGCAAATGGACAGCTGACCACATAATCAAAGCAACCAGCTCCGAAGCCGACCAGAACATGACGTAACAACCAGTCAGTGGGTGGTTACCAACTACAGTAGCCATTCAGAGATATTCAGAGTACCCCTGCGAACAAGTTCCGCACGGAGCTGCTGCACAGTTGGAACAGGTGTCGCCCAAGCAACGGTCATGGAACGGGCACACTTTCCCAATGCAATCAAGAAGAGTGTGACAACCTGTGATACGAGCAAGCAACATACTAAGTTGACCCAAGGAATCATGATTAGAGTTAGGCCCAGTTATAGAATATATATATATATTGTTTGCTTCACTTTGAGTCACTGGTAAAATGTATCCTAAGTCTAACCGTGGAATCTTCCAGATACAAACCCTCCCCCCCTGACTTCCTGAGTCATGACCTGCAGCTTTGGCGTCTGTACAACGTTCTATTGCCCAATAGACCCAAAACGAGCCTCAAACACGCAACTTCCTCATCTGATGCAAGTCTTAAGCACCTGCAACACATTACAACCATGTTGTCAGGATGGCCGTGCTATTCCAATACTCAAAGGAATCTGGAAAAAATCTAATTGGGGACCGAAAAGGGGGCACCGCCCCAATTCATTGCTTAAAATGATCCGTTGAAGTTTTTGGAAGCGAGCAATCAGCTTCCTCACATCGCCTTAGCTGGCAATCATTGGCCTCTCGCCTTCTTGAAAGGCGAACACTGGCTGGCGCGACGGCGGCGGGGCAGGGTCATTTGATTCTGCCCCACGTTTCTCGCGCGA